GTGTATTTTAAACCAAAATATAACTTTTATTAATGACAGAGAAGACAAGTTTTATTAAAAATGTACTTCTAAACTATTTTGAGTCACAGCATCATTTTGCCATTCGATTTACCCCAGCTCTGATTTTTTCTGTGAAATGTTTCGTCTTCAAATTTTAACGAGACACCTGGGAATTGCATCGCTTCGTGTCATTTCTTTCCCTGTCGCCCACAGAAGCCATTGTGTTCTTGTTGTCCTTTGTGTGCAAGTATAATAAATAATGCTCGCCCACACCCCGGGAAAATAGTAAGTAAAACGCGCGCTTGACATGAACAAGGACATCGAATCACACAAGAACAACGGGACAGCGATGTGCTCCAAGATGCCGCAGGGCAGCACGAATAAAAGGATAAGTAGCTGCCCGGTTCCTTGAGGAAGCGATGGGGCGTTTGGCAACGCCTTAATTGAAATTAATGTGTTTCCCTTTTCGATTGCCACACACATGGCCCTCGCATACAATTATATTGCACTTAAAATAGTCTTTAAAAATATAAAATTCCTCTTCAATTCAAATTAATTTCATAATTATTCAAAGGCTTTAAATATTCCAAACTTTGAAAATATTTTAATCACCGAATAAAAATAAAGCTTTAAGAATGATGTGAAGTTGTCTTTTATAAAAATCTTCTTTCCTAGTGGTTGCAAAAGAAACAGTCAAATTTTTCTGAGTGATTTCTCGTTCTATCTTTTACTTGTACCCGTATAGCGGTTAGTTTTTTGTCTTGTCCTTGCCCCAAGCCAAATTGACTTACGCCACAAGCAACAAGCAGCTTGTTAACTGTCTGCCGCTCCCACCCTTACCCCCTTTAGTAATGATCTCTTGGTTTCTTGCAGCTTGCGTGCCCGACTAGTTTGGACACGCACAAAAGCGAGCTACACAAAATAATATTTTTCGTTAACGGTTGTTTTGTGCTGCCTGCGGCCGTAAACGGGGGAATAATTAGTCGTTGCCGTTGCCGTAAGCCTTTGTTGTTGGCCTAATGGGTCGACGCAATTTTGATTTTAAAAGATGGTCATGCGTGCATGCCTAATGTGCCAAGGTCCTTAAGATCCGGCAAATTGCCCGCACTTCCACGCTACTCTTGTGTGTTAGTAATCTTACTAAATAACTATAATTTTTAACGCTTTTTATGGAGCCAAAGAAGAAACAAGCAGCCAAGCCAAGAATCAAACCATCAGCAATGGGCACAAAAGGAAATGCCTTGGTGGATTAAGGTCCACCCAGTGTATGGAAAGTACAAGGGTATATAAGGATATATATATGAGGTTCTGGAAAAAGCAAGTAATTATTATAAAAAATTTTGATATCTAGATATATCCCAAATGTTTCTTAACTAAAAGTAGCTAACTGAAAAGTCTTATGGTGTATGCAGGATGATTTTCAGTAATTCTTAATTGGAAGCAAGGTAATTTTTAGTTGGATCCTTTTTAACTTCTTTATGCGGTTTATGTGCAGTGCGTCACGGTTTTTGGTCATGGATTTGGGATTTTCCCAACCAAACCTACTCGACATTTTACCGCCCTCCTTGTCGAGCTTTTCTTTTAATTTCTTGAAAAGGTTTCTGCCTTTTGTTGTTCTTGCTTATTACGCATCGCACAAAGGCAAATATTCAGTGGAATGAGGCAACGAAGGGAAAGGAACTACTGGAGCTAAGAGCATCTCCCTCGCCTTTTCTGCTTGATATGAATTACAATAATAAAGAAAAAGAAAATTCGAGGTAAACGCATATCAAAAGTTGGGGCACGGCAGCCAAATAAAATCATAAAAATTATAAAAGGTATGCAGGAAAAATGAGAAGCAGCGGCGAGCAGACAGCTCACGGATGCGTTCAAGAAAAATCACCGTAATAAAGCCAAGCGTCTGGGGTCGTCCCTGTGCTTCAGTGTGTATGTTGCAAATAAAACAATTTGAGTGGAAATAAAAAATAAAACAACCGGTGCCAGATGATGGGTTAAAGTGGGTGGTGGAAAACGGGCGCTTAACACAACGCCCGAAAATGTAAGTGAGACGCAATCCTTTGTAAGACCACGTCGGGCAACTGGATTCTCAGACAGACAAACATTACCGGGCAAACAATGCGTTGTCGTCGTCGAGGAGTAAAACATAGCTTAAATTATTAATAAGCAGCATAAGAAAAACAAATGCGAATGTATGCACGCAGGAGATGATGAAGCAAGGAAGATAAAGGTGGTCGAAAAAGAAACAGTAAAAGCACTTGGAAAAATTAATTTGAATTTGACAAGCAGTATTATTAAATGATGTCGTGAAGCCATACAACATAAATTCAAGGAATTCTAGCAATACTTAAATGTTTTTTTAGTGTTCACTCTGTAATAAAATATTTGAGAATTACTTCCATTTGGAATACGATTCTAAACCCGAATTGTATTGTATTGAAGGGAAATTTTCTATATAGATTTTTTCAGTGCAAGACCATGAAAGCCAGAACTGCAGTAGCGGAAGCATTTCCTGGCTTGGTCACCGGCTTCGGTCCGTCTGGTCCTTTAAGTTCACGGTGCAATGGACGGGATAGTGGATGGAAGCGGGTTATAGAGGGTCCACCCTGATCATCACCTTACCTGCTGGCAAAGGGAATAGCTGAACACACCTGAGTGGCTGCTGGACGAGCTCATGGCGGAAGTTCTAAAGCTGGAAGGCCTTTTAACCTAGTCACGTCGGCCAAGATTATTTATGTGCTGTAATCCGTAACTAAATCGGTTGTGAAAAAAAAAGCGGTTAGTAAGCCCTTAAGATTGTGGCCCACTTATTTAATAAATTTAGAATGTGTTACTATTACTATATAAAAATACACATTTCCTGCCAACACTTTATATTTATGCTAAACCTCCCTTGCGCATGAAATCGGAATTGTTTTACAACTTAAAGAAAAAAATGGTATGTTTTAAAATGTTACTGGTCAGGTAAATAAAAGTCTCGTAACGTATTTATCACCAATTGAAGCATTATAAACTAAATTAAATTCTTAAGAATGCGCCATCTGCAGAAATAACACCCCGCCCCCATGTTCTACCCCATAAAAACCAGACCTTTTTCATTGTCTTCTGTATTTCTTTGTTATTAAATATTATTTTGCCAGCCTCACCTTTACACAATATTTTTTTAAACGTCTTTTTTATGACCAACGAAGATGCCCCCGGCCAGCCTAACCCACCCAACCAGCCCCTTCCGACCCACCGCCCCGCGTGATTTATGCCGCGCGGTCAAGTGTAAGTTCCACCACTGGCACCTCGGGGCAGGAAATTGGGTTTAACAGCAGCAGTCAGCGGGACCTGGCAGTTCGTTTAATTTCAGCCGATTTTTTCCGCCGGCCGCCTTATTATTAAATATACTTTTTGCCGCTACAGTTTTTTTTTTGCCTTTTATGAACTGGTTATCAGTGGACTACTTTACGAGTTGCGATTTGCCTTAATTACTCGCGTCGGCAGATCAGGATATTAACCGCACTGAGCTGGGTTGGTTTGGGTTTAGCACATAACCGTGAACGCCCGTCAGCGGTTAAGCTGCAATGGCATTTTTCCTTTTTTGTGTTTTCATAAGTCGCGATTTATTGGCTGCTCGTTAACCTTTGAGCTGATGCTGATGGAAAATGAAGGAATGCAAATAAAGGGACACTCTGTGATTGTTTTTTAATTGCGATGCAGTCGGATATTCGGAAATAATGAGAGTGCCCAAGCGTGGGTAAATGAGGTCCGATTATCATGTAGTGTTACATACTTTCCTGCATACTCGGCTCAATTATTTGGGAATTTTCGTTTGTGAATTTTCATAATATTTTCGCTTAATTTGGTATGACAATTTTCATGCATTCCACAAGAAACCGCAGAGAGAAAATACGCACAAAGCGAAATAATCCTTTGTGACGAACACTTTTGCTTACTTTGGTTTTGTGGGCAAAACCATTTAATTTTCCATAAAGATGAAATACCACGGGGTCTGAAGAACGGAAAAGGCAACTGCAGGCTGTGTAATTTATTAAAAAGACAGCTGACAGAAGAGGCTTGGAAAACAAATTAAAAGCGCATTTATATTGGGAAAGCCTCCTTTTTGGAAGCATGATTCCTTTTTCTCACCCCCGATTGCAACCGATTTTCGCACCCTCCGAGGGCTGCACCCCCGCTAACGAGCGTCCATTATGCAAACAATAAGCACAGCTTCCTCTCCAGATAACAAACCACAAACAAACAAACGTATAAAAATATCCTTCTCGTGGCAAGGAGAAATATTGCGCATACGCCACGCATCCTCCGAGTGGCTTTCATTCAAAAATAGATTTATGTGTGGCATTTAAGCGACACAACAAACAAAAAACGAACAGAAGAGCAAAGGAAGGACACCCAAACAAAATCAAGAAAAATGTGATGCAGCATTTATCAAACGTGAAGCAATCCGTGGGAATGTTTAAAACTCTTTCCATCCCTTTCACGCACCGAAAGCTGCTTGACATCATTATTCTTCAGCAAAAACAAACAATGTGCAGTGCATTTCGGTATCATTAAAATGTGATCACTTCGTATTAAAGCCGCAGTCAAATGTAGGCGGGGGTGGGCGGTACACCAACTTGGGGCAGCAACGATTTGATTTAGTGCCGCACATTATTTCTCGTAAATATCTGTGCTGGGTCTATACGCTGTGTGTATGTTATGCAATATTGTCAACAATAGACCGGGATCTTTAACATGTGTGCGTATGTCGAGTATGTGTGCTCCAGTTGGCAACATTTACATTTAGCATTTTGCCCCACTTGTTGACTTTTTGCCATCGGGTTCCAGCGAATTTGCATGATTTTCGCATTTATGCGCTTAATTTACTATTTAATAATGGCAAGCAAACACATGTTTAAGTGGCGGGAGTGAAACGGAAAGCAAAAGGAAAGCAGGAAGAACGGTCGAACAGTATATGGCTGGAATGGATAATGTAATGAAAGATTGGATCAACTTACCTTGACTCCAATGTGAACCGGTGCAAATTCTGATTTGTGTATAGAAGGAATCGGTATCGGTAATTGCATGGGAAGGGGGCAGGACATCATGGTCGCTACCTGTGAATGCAAACAGAAAGAACACAGATGTGATAGTTAGGTAAGGATCGGTAATTCAAGGGGTATAAGGGAGCAAGGGTATTATGTAATAATATTATTATCATTACTCTTCTTCAGATTGTTATCCGCAGAACCATTTAAATCTGATTCATCTTTTAAAACTAGAATTAAACTGTTGTAAAGCCACATTTAAAAGTGTGAAAATAAAGACAGCCCTTACAAAAAAAGTTCAATCTTTATTTCTCAGAACACTAGCATGTTTTAAATAATCTTAGAACGGGATAAATAAAGTTCGTCCCTCTTCATTTTGTGTATTTTTTAATTCACCGTTGGCACTGCAATTTTTCGCCTTTTCAATTATACGCGATTTAATGGCAGCCGACACAGGATTCGCCCCCACGCATCTTTGCTCTACTGCCCGGACAGACACACACTCGCGCATACAAATCACAACCGCATTGCATTTCATTCGGAAGGAGGACGAAGGACGAAGGTCGAGGAGGAGCAGGGCGGGGGCATGACCATCGTTTCATTTGGCGCCCATCATCATTGTCATTTCCGCTTTTGCGTAACGATGTCAACGGTTTTGATAGCTTCATTTCGTTGCGCTGCATTTCGTTTTGGTTTTTCGTTTCGGGCGCCAAATAAATCATTGCCTAGCCTCCGGTTTCCCTCGATTTTCCCGCTGCCTCGACCCCTTTATTCGCGCTGCACTCACGCCTTTCTTTCCAACCAATAAAAACTTTTTGACTTTGTCATAATACGAGCAGAAGCGAGAATGGGGGAATAAAGAGCAGCGACAACAGCAACATATACAAAGTAAAATAAAATCACAGAAGCCAAAATAGAGACCGAATAGAATGAGACATGCGTACACATAAAATAAAACCTAAAATTTAGAAAAAAATACATGTTTAAATAGTACTTTTATTTGCCGATATTTTTATTCAAAAGGTTATTACAGAAAAATGTAACCCAAGAAAAACCTGAGTTTAGAGGACAAGAATAAATGAATAGTTTTTTCGGTGTACGAAGAAATCGTTGAAAATTAAAATGGCATGACAAAGTGGCAAATGTTGTCAAAACTTTTGCATCAAAGCATTGGAGTAGCAACAGCAGCGAGAAAGCGGACATTGTGATATTGTAAGACGAGAGGACAGTGAACGTCATAAAAGTTGTCGCAAGCACACACTTCGACAATATTTCAATTTCCGGCCTTGTTCTTCAGGATTCTGCCTCTAAAGTAGTTTCCATGCCCCCGACCACCCCACAGCACCACATCTTTCTCCTTAGCAATTTGTGTTCAACTAAACATTTGGACAAACAAATTTCCTATCGCATTACACTTGTCAGCAACTGGCACCCTTTCGATGCCACAACTTGGGAGGTCGGACCAACTGCCATGTGTTTCTTTTCCTGCCCAACAATCAAACTTGTCAACGGCATCGATTACCAGAACAGCTACAAAAATGCAGAACCATCATAAACAAAACTATTTATGTCTCACTTTTCCATGCCATACCTTTACACCCCTCCTCATCACTTTCACTGACTGTCAGCCGGCTGTCAGTTTGCTTACGCATTTCACAGCAAATTGTTTTAAGTGCTAAAAAAAAGTGTCATTACATGGGCAGCTTGGCAAACTAATTAATAGAATTTCAGCATTAAGTGTTTGTTGTTCTGCAACTCGTTTTTTCGCTGACTGCCGTTGCAGTTGTAGTCATCATCATTATCAGAAGTAGTGCCAAAGTGTAGCGGAGCGTGGCTTGGCTTGGATTTTAATGACGACAACAAACGGAAATGACGTTGCCTGACTGACTTTCCAACATTGTAGCCGGCTTTTTATGCTGACACGCGACAGAGCAACGGAATTGAAAGGGTTGACGATAGGGCAGAACTGCGGAGAGAACGGAGGTCTAAGAATTGAGGCTGGCAGACGGCGCGACTTACGCCAGATGAAGTCATGGCCATGCCACATGTGGTAGCCATGTGGAAGCTGGCAAGTGCTCTTGCAATAAATGACAAGCTCCAGAACTTTTCAAACCAAAACGAAGATCGAAACTGAAACAAAGCTCAATAAGTTTGAATAATGCTTTGCCATATTAGAGATTTTCTAGAAATTAATAATTGGGTTTGGATCAACAATAGCTCACAAAAAGCCAAATTAAAAAATTGCTTTTATAAAACAGTTTAGCAGAATATATCTCTAATAAAACGCCATGGTAATAATCCCTTTTTTCAGTGCAAATGTTTACTGACTTGCCTTCCCTCCTTCATCCCGACATTGATATACGACTCTGCCTGGGTCTCGGTCCATATCCGCACACTCCAACGCCAGTTTTCTCTCTCACGCGTTAATTTGTCCAGTTTTGTGGTGGACATCCATGGCATTCGAGCAGGATAATAAATGTAATACGGCGATGATGAGAGCGAAACGATGTAGCGGGACTGTTGCTTCCGATGCTGTATGCACAATTAGGCCCGATGGATGATGGGGGCTTCCTATCCACCCACGAAAACAATGATTAATGAGCAGTAGCAGCAGCAGCAGCCGCGGCAATCGTACATCATTCGGTTAAGTTCAGCTGAGCGAAGTTGAAGGCCGGGCGGCAAGCCCAACAGACACAGCAGCAATTGCAACGACAGCAGCAACTTGCAACCTGTCACAATTGCAACCTGCAGCAAGTTCATGGACTATGTTGCCCCGTCGCCGTCGTCGAGTTTTCCACTTCACTGAGCATGCGCGGCGCATCTACAGCCGCAGGCAACAACAACGATAACTGCGACGACAGCATAAGCAACAGCTGTGCCAATCGTGCAGCAAATCAAGCGAAAATTTTTGCACGGGCTATCCACTGAAAAAAAGAGGCAACCTTTTCCATTCTTATCAATTCTTTACTTCTTCGAAATCAAAGATACAATAACTTAAAAAGAGAGTTTTTTCGAAGAATTTAAAAGCGAAAATCAGAGATAAGTCCAGCTTTATAACACTCATTTTATGTTATATATGCGTTCCAAGCTTAACTTAAATTTAGAATTGTCTTGCTTCTAACAATTGTATATTTTATTTTCCAAGTGTAAGTATCTCGGAGAATAAAACGGGTGGAGACCGCCGCGCCCCTGGCACTGATATTGCATATTGCACAAATACAAAGTGGCTGGTTAATGAACAGGTGGCTTGGCTCAGCCTCTGGCAGCTGACTCAGCTCCATTTGCCCCAGAGCATTGAACCTGGTCATGAGTACAATTACTTGCAATCAATTTGCATAATCATTGAAAGTAGTAACAATAAACATAATAAATCAGCAGTCGATTAATTGTTTTTAAGATCAAATTATTAACTAGACTGCTGTTTAATTTGGTGTCATGTTATAATGTTTTTAATTATAGCAAGTAAAACAATAATGATGGGAATATAATTCTATACCTATACTTCTTAAACACCTGTCCTAACACTTTGGTTGTAATCAACCGATTTGCTGATACATTTCGCTGATTCTCCTTTTACTTTTACCAGGCCTTTTTATGCACTCGATAACAAGGACTGCATAAATCAGCGAGGAGCCGGCAAATCGCATTAAAAAGCTCAAATCGTTTAGATTTGTGACACTAAGCAGGAGCACCACCCATTTAGCCGTCCACAGCACCACCCTCAGCCACAATCACAGCCACAGACACAACCACTGCGGATGCCTGGCAACAATAACGAAATCCAACCGAGACATTGTGCAGGTTTAGCATGACAAGTGAAAGTAAATAAAGTGAGCGGATGGGGAAGGAGGGACAGAAGGACGAGGGCAGCCTGTGGCCAGGGATTGCTCCTCGTATTGAGCTGGCATTTTATGCAAGGAATGACGCCCATATTTCACTCACAAAACTCGGTGTTGGCTTAATGCGCTAGGAAAACACGCCAAGAAGTTGCAGCCCACAACGGAACGAACTTGTTGCAACACACAGATCAGAAGAGCGGAGCAGGGGAGTGGAAATGGAATTGTAAGACGGGCGAAATGGAAAAGCGAAACGCGGGCATTTGCATAAATTCAGTTCACGGCAAACGGCGGCTATTGAACAGGAAGCGACCGTGATAATGATAAGACCGGTACTCAAGGGCAGAGAAGTGAAACCGAACTGTCCCAATAGCTGTTTCAAAGCAAACTGTGGTAATAAATAAAAGTTAAATACAAGATTCTAAAAAATGGTTAAAGCTTTTAGTCCTTACTGTTTGATGTCAAATTACAATTGTATTTGGCACTAGTATTGGCACTAGTAAATTGCCTGGCCTTCATTATACTGTATACAATTTTCGTAATACTAAAAACTAGAGTTTTTTCGAATGTGTTTTCAAGTATTTAATGTGATTTTTACAATAAGTTTAGCTTTTTTACCAGATAGTTGGCAGCACTGACTCAGAGAAGCTCTGGTCAGGACAGGTGCGAAATAATCGCTTGCTTTTGTGAGCCATGCATTTTCGATGGGCCGACCAGAGTAGAGCAAGTTGAAGGAGGCAATTACTATGGGCAGGGCCGAGGACTTTTCTGTTAAGGATTTCTTGATGGTATTGACGCCTTCGTAGCGGCTTTTGTTGGCTCACACAGATGGGCGTGGGTGTGCGCCTCTGGAAGTGCATGTGATGTGTGCGGTTTTGTGCCGCATCAAATTGCATTAGTGTTGAAAGTAGCAACAAGCTCAAAAAAAACCCCAGCTAGTGTGGAGAAAATCCAGTCTCAATCTGTCCCTTTCCGCCCTTCTCGCTCCCCTGTGGGTTTCCAGCTCACAGCCATTTCGCCTCTCATCGTCCTTTGTTTGCTTTACATCACGACATCGTCAACGGATTTCGCCTTTTTGCATTCTGATCTGATCTACCACTTACACCCTAAACCGTTGCGCAGCCATTATTTGGCTGGATCCAAAGGGCGAAAGACAGTGTGTGAAATGGCTGTAGTGCTGCTACTCTTGCCTGGCTTTGGGTAAGCTTCCTCCAGCTGGCAAGGAGGCTCAAA